TCGGCTCTGCCAGGCTAATCCCACTTTTCAAGGAGGGCGTCTTTGCTTCCTGCCTTCCTGAGGTTCCCAGGCACAGACTCACAGCTGGCAGGGAGGGCTCCAGTGCAAAGGCGCGGTGTGGACGCTAAAAGCTCAGTAATCCGCTTCTCCTCCCCCTTGGACGCCCTCTGCTCCAGCCAGCACGCTGCAGACAAGAGCAAGCGTTCTCCGATGCAACCCGCACATCACCCCTGCCTCACCCGCCCCTTCCCTGCAGGATTAAGCACCATCTCCAGTGGTCTCTTGGAAGGTATAAGTGAACAGTACAAGAAAAAGCATTAGAACTCCCGAACCAGAGTCCTCCTGCCCATCGCGTGGACTCGATACCCCAGCCCGCTGCTCCCTGAGCACAATACGCTTTCACGCTCCTCTCTCTGCTGCCTCTGCAAACCCTTCCCTCTCTGGGACCCCCACGCCTGGCACTCGCACTCAGTTAAAGAAAGAAACGGGAAAGTAAATGGTTGGTGCTAGCCAGCCACGGGGTATGTAGGAGCAAGGACTGTCTTATTTTCGTGCAGTGAATGAGGGCTGAATTGGGGGTGATGGGGTGGGTTCCTCCCTGTTGCCTGCTGCCTGACGTCCTGCAGCCTGAGGTCTGGCTGGGGTGAGTCTTTCCACCCTTCTCCTCTGACCTTGAGAAAAGGGGTCTTGATAAGTCTTCCTGTCTCTAACCTTTGCCCTGATTTTCTTAAAGTCCAGGTTTATTCCTGCCACTCCCAAGCCCCCTCTGGCACCTCCTACAGGCCGATCCATCACCTCTGGGGTCCAGTGCCCCTCCTCGCCCCCTTCCTTCCTGCCTTCCACTGTACTACATGCAACTGGGCCACACGGCAGGAGCTAAATAAATGTATCTGGAACAAAAGTGGCTCTCCCTGGCCACTGGCACCCACATGGATATCCTCTTTTTCAGAATTCCTAGAGCTCCTTTGTGCAAAGTCCTACATAGGCAACCAGCCTACCACCCGGCACTCATCCCCTAAACTGGCTAATTACCCCAGGGAAGTTATAAACGCAGATCGCAATCAGACTCCTTGGAGGGAGCCTCAGAAAGGCGCACTTCCGGCAGGTGAGTGTCATCACCAGGCTGGGGGATGCCAACCACCCGAGGGCCGATTAGCTCAGGAGAGCGTCCCTGCCTCCAAAATAGACACAGCTCTACTCTCCGCATCACACGGCTGTCACCAGGATCTGGTCACAGAACACACAGGGAACAGGGACAAACTCCAAAGCCCCAGGCAGGCCTGCCAGGAAGACTGTGGCTGCTGAGTCCCACTGAGCCCCCACCCCAACACACCCACCCACAGCTCAGTGCCCCACTCCCTGGATTTGAACCCACAGGAAAAAAGTGCCTGGATGGGTACGTGAGCGGTGAGGTGAGGGTGAGGACAAGCCAGCCTGCGGCTGAAACGCTCCAAGGAACTTCGCTATTGAGAAAGAACAAAAAAACAAACAAACAAAAAACCCTGGGAGAAAACGAGGGACAGGTACAAGTCTCCCAGCTGGCAAAGCCTGGCTCCTGCACCCAGCTGTGTGGCTCGCCCATAGCCACGGTCCACTTCTGGGCCCTCCCTGGGGGCCTGCGGAGCCCACGTCTGCTCGCCCTGCTTGTCCTCCCAGGGGTGCGGCTCTTGTCAGGGACATGCCAGCCTTCCCAAGCCACCTGCCGGGACCCCAAGGGCTGCGTTCTACCAACAGCTCACAGGCTCCTGCTCACCTGGTCCAGCTGCCTGCATTCCCCATGGCCGGGCTGTCCCCCATCTGGCCTGAGGCCCAGTTCCTCCACCACCCTCTTTCTAGGACACAGCAGGAGACCTGAG